AACCCACGATCTCGGCGTATTGGGAGGACACTGCAACCAACTGAACTGCCCCGCCAGGGCAAGGGGCAACCAGCTTGTGACACGTCCCCACTGGCAGGGGAGCGGGGCAGATGGGCGGAGGGGACAGTGGAGGACGGAGACCGAACGCTGCCTTGTTGAGCAGACTCAGGCCCAGGGTGGGGACTCAGGGACAGTGGGTTTGCACTTCCTCTCCTCAACGCCGCACTCGGTCAAAATCCGCTTTCCTTCCCCTTCTGGCGTCTCAGGCGGACCCCACCGCGCTGTGCTCTAGAGCTCCTTGTCATTTTTAAAAAACAGATTTTATTTATTTTTAGAGAGGGGAAGGGAGGGAGAGAGAGAGAAACATCCGTGTATGGTTGCCTCTCCCATGCCCCCCACTGGGGACTGGGCCTGCAACCCAGGCATGTGCCCTGACTGGGAATCGAACCGGTGACCCTTTGGTTCACAGGCCAGCCCTCAATCCACTGAGACACACCAGCCAGGGCTCAGAGCTCCTTATAATTTTAAGCCACTGCCTCATGCCCTGTTCAGAGCTCTAGGGTCCGCAGCCTCCCACTCCAGCCTGGATGTGGCTCTGAGACTGTGGGCAGGGCTCACTGCCCGCCTCCCTCTGACTGCATCTGACTCCGTCTGCCCTGGGCACCTTGGCAGGAGGAGCCACAGACAACATGCACACGGACGGGCTTGGCGCAGCAAAGGCGGAGACGAGGGGTTGCGACACAGACGGTCCGCCTGCAAAGCCTAAAACATTCGCCATCCGGTGCTTTAAAGAAGACGGTCGCCAAGCCCCGCCAGTGTGTCTCGTCCTCCCTCCCAGCTCTGCGGGGCCGCCTGCTCCTGTGACCTCTGGGGTCAGCGGGGCTCCACCTGCACGGGTCTGGGACCAGCGGCGGCCACCAGGGGGCGAGTTCCTCTCATGGCCGTCGGAGAGCAAGCAGAAAGAGACAGCACCTCTGAAGGCCAGGCTCACGGCCGCCACGTTCACACCCCACGTGCTCGGCCCATTCACACAGGAGGGATTGCCACGTCACACACCCAGGGGCAACCACGTCTGACTCCGGCACAAAGGGCGAGCTCGGAACTGGCGGCAGCGGCCCCCTCGAGCGCGGTGGGGCACCCAGGGCTTGCAGCCGGGGCCGTCTGCATGCCTGTCCCTCTTCCATACCAGCTTCTGCCCTGGGTGAGCTGTTCAGGGTGCAATAAAGGAGAAGGAATGGGAAAACCGTGGGGAAAGAACGCAGAAAGGGTTTCCCATCATTCTCTGAGCCCGGGGCACCGTCCAGTGAGTGCCTCACCGTCTCCGGGAACTGAAAGCACCGGAGACCCGAGTACCGTGTCAGGGAGGCCCCCGAGGACCCCGGCCAGCTTCAGCAAGTGCTCGGGAGAGCCACACTCCTCAGGAAGGCCCTCGTCTGCAACGGGACGCATACGGACTGGGCGCTGAGAGATTCCGGAGGCCATCGGTTCTGTGACCCGGCGGGTGGGCGTTCTTGCAGCACATAAGTTAGTCGCGTGAGCCCTCGCCAGCGAGGAGGAGGAGGAGGTGGGAGCCGAAGGTGTCACAATCGCCCCTCTGCCAGTATTTCACGAACGCAGGGCACCTCGGACCTGCCACGCAGCCCAGCAGTGGTGAACCTCGGAGCCCACGAGTGTCTGCTGCTCGGAGTGACAGACGGGACCGGCGTGGGACGGGATGATGAATAAGTGCCCAGCACCACGGCGGCTGCTCCCCGACCCTCCCGCTGCCCCCGGCCGGTTCTCTGTGTCCTCATGCAGTCGGACTCTCGCCAAGAAACCCACGGGAGGGAGAAAGAGTGCATAAAACGCACACAAAGCTATTCATTCGGTCGCCGCTGTTTTGAAAGGAAGACTCGAGAAGAAATGTAGCGAATAATACGGCAACTCTGACACGTTGTAGAATGTGGTGACAGCGGGTAGATTTTCTTTCCAAGCTCCACGGGAAATCAAAGACGCTACAAAGGAGGGAATGCAGAGGGAGGGCCTTTGAATAACCGCACGTAGGAAACACTGTTTTTGATGAGACGTCTTCTGGTTCCAACCCCCACGGTTATTGTCCTGCGGAGTGGAGTTCCAACGTGACATGCGTCCAGACGGGTGTCTCCACTCACATGCATGGAGGAATACGACCAGCATTCATCGAGAGCTCACGTGCATTGGGCACAAAATGTTTTACCGGCAGAATGCCAGGTTAGCCTGTTTGTGACATGGGCGTCCCCCGTGTCCGCACGCGGAAGCGGAGACCTCGGAGACCGGAAGGTTCCCTGCCTGCCCCCGGCGGCCCAGCTGCCGCCTCACAGAGCTGAGGCTGAACTTGGACCTGTGCGCGTGCAGACCACTGCTTTTCCCTCCCTTGTCTTTTCCTCCGAGTGGACGGAATACAGGTGGTTTACGTCGCTGCCAAATATTTGTGTGAGATTAAAATGCCTTCCTCCCAATCAGGAGCCCCCTGCAGCCCTGGCTCCCCCCGCATACCAAACCCTGGAGGAGATCAGAGCCAGCCCAAACCAGCCCGATTTGTCCTGCTTTCTCCGTTTCGGTGATGAGGCTCACTGGGCGAGACAGAGCCTTCGGGGCCCAACGCCGCCCGTGCTCCCCGCTGTGTCCCCGCAACAGTTTGTTATGACCGTTGTCACATACACAGCGAAGTTGAGAAAACTGCATAGTGAACACTCGTATCTCTACCACGTAGATTCTGCCGTTAACAGTTACTGCTCTTGCTTCGTCTGTCCATCTGCCCACCTCCCTCCCAACCTCCCTCCACGCTTCCTATTTTTGATGCGTTTCTGAGTACGTTGCTGTCGTCGGTACACCTCAACTAAACAATTCAGCGAGACTGTCATTAGCCAGAGGAGCGAAGGGATGACGTGTGCTCAGCTCCTTGCAATTCCCTTCTTGGCCTCTAGGGTTCTCCCCTCCGGCAGAGCACAGAGCCCCACACCTGGCCAGCCAGGTGGCAAAGGGAACCGCCCTCCCCAAGGGCACTGGGCACTGGGCACTGGGCTGGCCTCCAGGTCCTAGATGCACTTTGCATGGTGGCCACCCCAGCCCCAGGTGGTTGCTGGGCAGTGCAGTGGGGCTGGTGCAAACCGAAACAACCCTGAATGTAAAATACACGCAGGATTTCAAAGACTCAGTAAAAAAATAATTAAAATCTCCCACTAGTAATTTTATACGATTACATATTGAAATGGTAGCATTTTTAAAAATTTATTTAATTTTAGACAGAGGGGAAAGGTGGGAGAAAGAGAGGGAGAGAAATATCAATGTGTTGCCTCTCATGCGCCCCCTACTGGGGACTTGACCCGCAACCCAGGCATGTGCCCTGACTGGGAATTGAACCAGTGACCCTTTGGTTCGCAAGTTGGTGCTCAGTCCACTGAGCCACACCAGCCAGGGCGAAATGATAGCATTTTTGATACACTGGGTTAAATAAAATGTTACTAAAATTCACGTCCCCTGTTTCTTCTCACCTCTTTTAGTGGGGCTACCGGAAAACCTGAAATCACGTATGAGGCTCGCATTGCCTCCCTATGGGACGGGGCTGTTCCGAATGGGATCAGAGCCAGTCCGGCCGGAAGCCACTCCAGGGCGAAGGCAGAGCTGGCGCCGTCGCGGGAGCCCGCGGCGTTGACTTTTCTCCCCCGGATAAAGCAGTAACTAGCTGACCAAGTCACTTCCCCGAGAGGCGGCACTTCTCACGAGCTGTACACATTAATCCTCACGTCATTCTCACCCCGGAGGGAGAATGGGAGCAAACCTGGGGGCAGGTGAGCCATCACACACCTGGGCACATGCTGAGACGTGGGTCTGTGGGAGGGAGCCTGATTCAGCCGCCAGGCGAAACATTTTATGGGTGGTGGGTGAACATGCCCTTCATGCCCAGGTGAACATGCCCAGGTTCTTACTTCAGCCCTCCAACGGCCGGATGAAGCTGGGATGGTGACTGCCATCGCCATCTTGCAGGTGGGACATCTGAGGGCCAGAGGTGAGGGGTGCTGAGCTACCAGGTGGCAGAGCCAGAATCAGACTCAGAGTGGATGTTCTCAACCCTACAGCACCCCCCCCCCCCCACCAAGAAGCCGCTCTGCAAGGACCCATGAGAGGAAGTGGCTGGGGGACAAGGAGGGTTCCGGCAAGACGCGATGAGTCGCGTGAGGGGCGGGGCGCTCTGAGTCCCCTGGACTTGGGAACGGAGGGTGTGTAATAGCGAGTGGAGGGGGCCTGCGGCCAACCAAAGAGCGCGGGCCCTGCCTGAAGGCAGAATGCGAGCCTGCCGGTTTGTGTGGCTGCCCCTGCAGAAGGTACAGGGCTGGTGACCGTGTTTAAGCCAAGGAGGGTGGCCGTCAGAAAACTTCCAAGATTCTGACATTGCCTCAGCTCCAGCAAATTCCTCCTCCCGTGCGCCACTGGACCCAAAGGAGCAACGCTTCTGGTGGCTTCCTCTGCCCCGGAACCACCGAACTGCGGGGGAATTGATCACATGCTCGATTTTTGGCAGAGTAAGATTTCCAGCAGATGTCCCAACAGGCAAAGTTAGCCTGCACCGTCATATAACCTCTGTTCTGAGCTTTCTCCTTCCGCCACGTGGGCGGCGAAAGAGCGCTGGGTTTGAACCCGGCGCGGGAGCCCTGGTGTTTCCGCCTGGACAACAGGAGTGAGCAGTGTACCCACTCCCTTCCCAGGGCTGCGTGAGGAGTAAGGGCCGATGCGCGCTCGGCTCCGCGCACCCAGCTTCTCGTGCCCTGGGCCCCAGAGTCTGGGGCTCTGCGCTTTGGCCTAGGCACGCATCCCCATTAACCAACATCTTGCCCACTGCGGCCCCTTTAAGACGGCCTTGGAGGACCTAGTTTCAAAGCGAGGGCGACTCTCTAGGTGCCACCTCGATGGTAAGTCGTCACTTCCGGTCCGGAGTGAAGGTGTTGGGCCTCTGTTCCAGGGTGGGCGGTACGTGGCGACGCGTGCTTTCTCGTAGCCTAGGGGACCATCCGCCCGGCTCTGGCTGGTGGCCGTCCGGGCCCGTGTGGGTGTCGCGTGCCTTCCACTGCCATGGGCGCCAGCGTGCGGCCTCGGGCCCCGCCCCGGGATTAACGAAACTCCGCGGGGGCGGGAACGCCTCCGCGGGGCCCGAGACCGCAGGGACGGCTTGCATCCTGGAGGCGGAGGGAACTTGGCCCCACGCGGATTCCAGGGTGGGGTGAGCGGTTGTAAGAGGCGCCGCGGCCGCCAGAAAAGCCTCGGGGCGCCCGGCCGGTAGCCGGCGCGGTCCTGGGAGTGTGGAAACACCGAATGAGACTTGTCCGCCTTCTTACTCTTTCTCCAGGGTGTCCCCGGAAAATGAGAAGCCGCCGGCTTCCGGCGATCGGGGCAGGGAGAGCACACGCGGTTACTGTCCCCTGCTCCTCCTCGATGACATTCGAGTGACCTCGGTTTGGGGGGGTCCAGGTACGCCAAGTCTTGGGGGCCACGGGTCTAAGGCGCACGGTCTGGCGAAAGGCTCCTGTGTTGCTGAACCTGCCCAGCGGCGGGTGCGGCCCGTACCAGGCAGCCCTGCCGTGACCTAGAGTAAGTGCCCGGGAGAGTGTCTCCTGGGCTTTGAACTTGCAGTAACAGGTGTGAACATGCTAGCAGCAGTTTGATGATCATGTATGATACTGCAAACAAGACCGAGCGCGGAGAGCGGAAAACTGGCGGGGTTTCTGAATCCCGTGAGCGGTGTGGATGTAATAAATACTTACTGGTGCTTGGCTGGGGTGGGGGAGGGGGGGCACCAGCCTGCGTGTTAAAGATACGGAAAAACGCAGCAGCGTGGTCCTTGTTCTCTCCCAGCTACCGCCCAGTGGGAGAGACGAGGTCATGTGATCGCAGGACGTAGGGGGCGGGGAGCACAGTGTTTTATAAGAGTGCGTGTCACTGGTAGCCTGATGGACACTGGGATGCATTCCTGAGACTGGGGCCCCTGAGCTGGACCCGGAGGGGTGGGTGGGAGTTGGGTGGGAAGGCCCCAGGCGGCGTGTGCAGACGCCCATGGCCCAGCAGGTGTGGCGAGCAGAGGTCCTGACAGGAGGCTGCCGCAGCTGAGACAGCACGGCGGGAACCGTGTGGGTCGGAGCTCAAAAGGTGGGAGGGGGCCAGGCCGCAGGGGTTCTTTGCTAAGAATGTGGGAGGTGGTCATGGGTTTTAAACCAGAGGGTGGTGTGCGGAAACCCGCCATTTCTAAAGAGCGCTCTCTGCAGAAGGACGCCGTCTGACTTCCGCGGCGATGGAGGCGGTCTGCATCTGTGCAGTCTGGCCGAGCGGCCGCAGGCCAGAGGCTCGTGAGCACTTGCAGGGCGGCTGGTGTGACTGTGGAGCTGGCTTTTCAAAGGTAACGTCAGCAGCGTGGCCACCGTGTTGGGCAGTGTGGACAGAGCACATTGGAGGGAGTGGGGACCCTGTGCAGCAGTGGGGACACACAGCTGCCCTTTTACGTCACCTGCACCTCCTCCCGCCCTGGGAACAGCCCTCGGGTGACTGCCCCTACGGATCTCGCGCGCACAGCGTGGCGGCGCGTGGAACCTCGAGTTTCTGTTTTCTTGGCTGCAGGTCAGCCTGCTCCGGGGGGAGCGGCACTCTTCCTCCTCCCCGCTCTGCCCGCGTTGTCCCCGGCGCACAGGTTGAGGGGTAACGACTTCAGCACATCCAAGCACCGTGGGGCGGAGCGCCACACCTGTCCCTTGGAGGGGTGCGAGGAGCAGCGGTCCGAGACTGGGACCGAGAGAGGTGGGTCCACGGCAGGGGGTGTTGGGGGCGTCGGGAAGGAACATGTTCGGGGGACCCTTCAGGCTGGGGCCCTGGAATGGCTGTTTCCAGCTGATGGCGCACGAGACGAGAGGCCATGGGGAGCTCAGGACCTGGGGACTCGGTGGGGAGTCCAAGGCTGGAGGAGGGGAAGAGAGGTGCAGGAAGGAGTGGGCCGGCGTTGGGTAACGGGCCTCGTGGGACCCCGGGTGTGTTGTGGGTTTGGTGCAGGCGGGTGTCTGAGGGAGGCTGGGGGGCAGGGTGTCGGATACCCCTGAGTGCCTTTCAGTAGGAGGGGACCAGCCCTCTGGGTCGGGGACCCCTGAAGACGGGGAAAGAGGAGGGGCTGATCAGAGGAGGGTCTCTTCAGGGCACCTTCCACGTCGCATTCTGGGGGAGGTGGATTCTAGGTTTTGGAGGGTGCTCTGTGACCACCCCTGTTGAGAACCCTCTGGAGGTCCAGGCTTGCTTGGGCAGGATCAGGCTGACGGATGCGCTTTCTTCACAGGGTTCGCCGGACAGCCTGTGTGTCACCTTGGGCAGGTCTGCCGACGGCGTTTCCACCTGGCCCTCCGAGCCTGGAAGGTGGCCGCTCCGCTTCAGGGCCTTCCTTCCGGGTCTGCTCGGGTCCCCCGTGAACCGCGCCGCTGTTGAACGCTGACTGCGTGCGGCCCTGTTTGTGTGGCTGGAAACAAACGGAGCCAGACTCCAGCGAGACTCTGCACGCACTTGAATGTTTTCTGTGCCGGGCGGTGGCGCGTCTGCGTGTGTCCCCTCTGCTCCTGCGGTGCGTGGGTGGCAGCGCTGTCCCCAGTGAAAGTGACTGACGGAGCGCGTGTGAGCGCTGGGGCCCCGGCCTCCTTGGGGAGCACGAGCCGTCGGGAAACGGGGCACCCGGAGGGAGACGGCCGTCGTCGGGGCAGCCCGGTGGGGAGGGGTGGCCGGGGCAGTTGCGGTGGGTGTTCGCCGTGACAGAGGGAGCACTTCGTGCGGGATAGGGTTTCCCTGGGCACGACCCCTGACCTCAGAGCTGTCACTTGTGGCCCCCAGGCCCGCCCCCTCTCTGCCCGGCTCTGTTCCTCACCTGCGTGGTGACCCTGCGCCGACCTCTTGCTTCGGCCTGTACGTCGGGCCACGCTTCGCTGCTGCACCGGGGGCACCGCCAGCCCTCTGCGGGGGTGAGCAGCTCCTGGCCTCGGGGCTCTCCTTGCGGCTGCTCGGTGTCACACGCACGCCCTTCGGGCTGCTGGCGCCCTGTGCCCGTCACTGCGTCCGTCAGCAGCCCCGGCCCAGGGACTCACGGGGGAGTGGAACTGTGCGCCCAGCGCACACGTGCACCCCAGGGGCACTATTGTGACAGTGACAGAGGTTGTGGCCCTGGGGTCGTGGGTGGGTGATGGGTGGGTGGGCCGTCTTCACAGAATGGAGTTCTCCCTCGTTCCACGGTCCTTTGACGTTCGCCGTGTGTGGACGTGAACTCAGGAGACACCAGCCGTGGGTGAGCTGCCCCACGGCGGCCGTGGCCACGCTCTCCATGCTAGCTCGGCAGGGCACCGTAGGCCCGCGAGCGTCTGTGGTGGGCGTAGGCAGGTGATCCGGGACTTCGGGCCTGCTCGTGACAAACCCAGGGTGCCTGCCCGTCCCCTTCGGCTCCCGTGGGCACAAGTGCCTGCGTGCTCCCCGGGCCCGGAGAGTTGGGGGGGTGCGGGGGTCAGGTCCCAGCTCCGCCGCCGGCCTCAGGCCACGTCCCTGCTCCCCTGGATTTCTTTGGCAGAATGGGGACGGCGAGAGTGATGGTGACCCCCGCCAGATGGGCACCCGGGACGGGAGCACGTCCTGTCGAGGGCCCAGGGCACTTCGGACGCGCCAGTGCCCGTCATCTCCTGGGGTCCACCGGGGGTTTGCGGCGGGTTTCCGGCTGCGAACCTGTGGGGCCGCTGCAGGGGAGCGATGCCGGGGTCCTGGGTGCTCTTTGCGGCGGACGGTGCCTGCCTGCTCCCGAGGGGCGGTGTCCGTGAGCACTCGGCTTTTCCCCCTGTGGCTTTCACATCCGGGCCACTGACAGTATGTGCTCGTGCAGGTGCCCCCCTCCCGCCTCCCCCCTTCCCCCAGTGCCTGGCTTCCGAGGGAGGAGGCGGAGTAGCTGCTTGGTAGGTGCCGTGTCAGACGTGGCGTGTGCCGGGGCCAACCGTCCACACTGCCATTTCTGGAACCGATGGGTGCCCGGCGCCATCTCGCTCTCCCGTGTCTTTCCTGAGCCCAGACGGCTGCGGGCGGGGCGTGTCCGTCTGGCCTGGCAGCTGTGGGCCCTGTGTCTGCGGTCGCGGTCCGGCAGGCAGGTCGGCCTTCGGTTCGGTGGGCTCACCAGCAGTGTTCAGGGGCTGGTCCCTCTGAGTGGTCGTGCTGTGTTTCTGTTGTGATGTGGATGGTTCGTACTGAGAGAGCCAGGTGTCATTTACCTGCCTCTGCTCTCTCGTTTGCTGGGACACGGATCGACTGAGCCAGGTGCCCGAGTGTCCCCAGCGGGTACGCCTGGGCCTGAGGGCGGAGGAGCCTGCCCAGGACAGGGAAGCAAGGGGGAGAAGGGCGGTCCTGGTCACCTGGGCTGGCCAGCTTGCTGCCCTGCCGCGGGCTGTCGGCTTCAGGCCTCCGCTCTGTCTCTGTGCCCACGCCCACACCCACACCCACGGCAGCTGGGTTCTGCACGCTGGGGCGGGTGCTGGCGCCTGCAGAGGTGGGAGGGGGAGGCCCAGAGCCCACAGGGAGCCTCGGAGCCTTTCATGTGGCTGGTGCCATCGAGTGTGGCTGCTGGAATGCTCCCCAGCTGGCATAGGTGTGGCGACGGCATCCGCGTTCTCCCCAAGGGCCTCGTATTTAAAGTAGGCTGCGGCGTGCCGTGGGTGGGCCTCGGCATTCTCGGCGTCTGCGCTGCTGGGTTACGGGAGAGGGTTGAGGCAGATGGGAGTGGTCTTCCTGAGAGCTGATGCTTTTCCCGGCCTCGGTGGAGAAGGCAGAGTGTGGTCCCCAAGAAGTGGTGTTTTGTTTTGTTTTGTTTTTTTCAAGATTTTATTTATTTTTTTTAGAGAGGGAAAGAGAGGGAGAAAGAAAGAGAGAATCAATGTGTGGTTGCCTCTCACATGGCCCCCACTGGGGACCTGGCCTGCAAACCAGGCCTGTGCCCTGACTGGGAATCAAACCTGCGATGCTTTGGTTCGCAGCCCGCCCTCAATCCACTGAGCTACGCCAGCCGGGGCAAGAAGTGGTGTTTTACTGTTAGAATCGTCTCACTGTGAAAACTTGCTATGGGACGGCACAGGCCTGGAGCAGAAAACTTAAAAATGGGACTCAAGAACAGAGCGGATCAAGATCTCAAACTTCTCTCTTTGTCCACTAGAGGGTGCAGGCTCGCACCGGACTGGGATCTCTTTTGTAACTCGGTACAGAGTTGGGTTTTGTTGCGGGGGAGGGTTTGTTGTTTTTTGTATTTTAGCCAAGACCTTACTTCACTGGAAAGTTATGCTGAAAGCTAATCTGTGGAGTTGGGCTCTTAGGAATCTGCCAGGGTGTCCCCATCACTCCCAGGTCCTGGGGCGTGCTCACTATGTCGCAGGGGCCTGCCGACCCGAATGCTGTCCCAGAACACGGCCGGGCACGTGGCACGTGGGGAGACGAGCACATTCTGAGGCAACTTTTCATTGAGGTTCTCTGCCGGCGACAACAGCTGGTGGTGCTCCGTGGGAAGGATTTTCTTTGGCAAGGGGCTGGTGCCGCACGTTGCCGGCGTCTGAAGTCCTGGCCAAGCATGCTAAGGGTTCACAAGGGTTTCGGAGCAGCCAGAATGTCGCTCGTCCCGACACGGAGCAGAACCTATCCAGGCTGAACCAGGTTTGTCCGAGCCCGCGTGGCTCTGATGGCTGGTGGGCGCCCGCTAGGAAAGTGCCCTTAGACTGGAAAGGGGGGGGTACGCGTCTGGAAGTGAAATCTGGGTGGGGCGCCAACGTCCTCTGGTTTCGGAGCCTGGTGGCAGCTTTCTGGGGGTTCAGCTTTCCCAGGCTGTCATCCCCCCAGCCTCCGGAGGACATTTGGGATGTTGGGTCCTTTTGGGTGGTTCTGCTTTTAGGCAGATAGGGGGAACTCAGGGAGGAAAAAAAAAACTCATTCTGGACCCCTTTCTCAGCCTTTTAAAATCTCACTACTAGGAATCCAGGAACTCACCCTCTGCTCCCCTCCTTCCAAGGAAGGGGAAATTGAAATGATGCAGCCCCGCCCCGGAATCAGGGGAGAAGCAGGCTCCAGGCTGGACCTTCCCCCCACCCCCTCCACCCGCACCCCCTGGGCAGCCAGCAGTCCCCCTCCACACCAGAGCAATGGTTTGGGGGTCGCCTGCAAACCAGGCGTGCCATGGACCATTGGGGACCCCGTCACTGAGGTGTTGGAGAAAAGCAGCCGCTGTGTGTCGAGTTTAGTGACTCAAGATTCTGGGGCAGGATGGAGAGTCTTAGTTGACGCAGCTGCCCACGCTGGAGGCCCGTGGTGGGTGGGAAGTGGGCAAAGGCTACGGAGAAATCAGCCTCCACTAAGGACCACTCGGCCCACACTGGGTGCGCTGTGCTTCCCCCTCCTCTCTCTCGGGAAGGTTCCTCACTCGCGATCGTTACTTTCTCCGCCTCACGGGCGGAGGCCCGGCCACGGGCCTCACGGGCGTACGTTGCTGCCGGAGTCCCCGCTAGTGGGAGCCGGGATGTAAGAGGGGGCCGCACCCGAGTCTGCAACCGCATCGGACGAAGACTCTGTCACAGAGAAGAGCCTGACTTTCGTTAGCTGGTGTTAAGCTAACGACATATATAAGATTAAAGTGTTTTAAATACAGAGTGTGTGTTTCCATTCTCTGCTCTGCCCGGCTAACGACAAAAGGAGAAAGAGGGAGGCCAGCCCAGGCCAAGGGAGCAGGAGGGACACGGCCCAGCACAGAGGACTGGAGAGACCCTCCCAGCCTGCACAGTGCGTGGGAGGGTGAGCCGTGACCCCTGCTGAGGGCCTGGTGGGGGGTGGGGGGAGTTCCCAGCGACTTAAAGGCACGAAGGGTGGGGCAGGGGAATTGTGAGCAAAAGAAAAGGTTCTTCTTAGGCGGGAGGGGACAGGCAGGGCCAGGGCCTTGTCAGGCAGATCGCCGATATTGATCAGGCCGTTCCAGACTGATCGGTTTGAAATTCCACCCCTCGGCGTGCAGCAAGGTTGGTTACGGAGTTTTGGTTTGCTGTCGTGGCCAGGCACCGGGGACTCGGTTCCCACCCGTTCTCCTTCTGACCCTGCTCGTGCCGCTGCCCGAGCCTCTGACTTCCCCGCCGGTCAGCAGGTGGCCCTGCGCTGCCTTTGGCTGAGAGCAGGAAGTGCTGCCTGTTGGCCCCACAGCACGCTTCTGGAAAAGGGTATCGTGATTCATCACTTGTCGGCCTGGAAATACTTTTCCTGGAATACACCCTGCGCCGCTCGCTGCCGTCCCGGGCTTCCTGTGCAGGCCGCACAATACTGGGAACTGGCCGCAGGCGCACGGCGGCGCCCTGCACTCCTGCCGTGTTACCCAGAATAGAGGAGCGGGCTCGCTTCCTCTTCCTCTTCGGTCTTCCGGGAGGGGCGTCCTTTGTCTCTCAGGGAGTGCGGGGGGGGGGGCAGATTCCTGCACTGGAACACAAAGCTCTGCACGCTGGAGTGGTTAGATCCGCTGATTGAGCTCCAAGAGGAAGCAGCTCCCTCCCCTCGGGGGCCAGATTGCAGGGGGAGGGAGCGGCCTGCGCTGTGGGGCCGTGAGAACGCGGTGGTTTCGTTTCGGTGGGGGATGGGCCGCGGCGTCCACGCGGACGGGCTCGGGCTGCGGCGGCCGGTCACGCAAGTGGCCGGCGTGAGGACAGCGGGTGCCGGCCAGCCGCGCCTGTGCCCTCTCGCCCTGCAGGAAGCCTGCGCAGCTTTGATGCCCGGGTCTCACGGTTAGCCCGACACACCGGAAGCAGCCGGAGACCAGAAGGGGAAGTCGGTTAAGTCGCGGTGCGGTGGGAACGCGCTGACGGTGTTTCCGTAAATGAGGGAGGCAGCAGGTCCCGGCACACTGTACGACTCCGTTCACCCGCGGCCTCAACCCGGGCCGCCGTGCGCCCGTGGTGGCAGGTTGGAGAACGGGTGATCTGGGGGTCCTCGGGACTGGTCCTTGTCCTGATGCACAGGGCGGACCAGGTGCATGCGCGTCTGCTGGGTGGAAACAGACCCGAAATGCACGCCTGTCATTGTACCGTTCAGTTACCCCTCGGTAAAAAAGGAAAACAGTGCCTGTGGTCTGATTGATTGACAGCGCACAGACAGGGGCTCCAACACGGGCGTCCTCAGGGCTGCCTGTGGGGGCTCAGTGCCTGGGGAGAGGGTGCAGGCACCTCTGGGGGCGGCTGTGTTAGAAGTCCAGGCTGGAGCCGTCGCCACACGGGTGTGCTCTGAGATGGCCCAGCCGCACGCCGGGTTTGTGATGTCCTGTTCGGATGCTGTGGTTTAGTGAGAGGTTATTCAAAACGTTGTGCACAGCACGGTCCTGGGTTTTTGGTTAAAAAAAAAAAAAATATATATATATATATATATATAGAAGAGAATCGTATTAGTTTCCTGTGGCTGCTGTGACAAAAATACCACACACGGTGGCCTAAAATAACATCGACGTATTACGCACAGTTCTTCTGGAGGTCAGAAGTGGGACCCGGGCCTCATGGAGCGGAGATGAGGGTGTGGGCAGGACCCTGTGGTTGCAGGACCCCCCCCCCCCCCCCCGCTCCCCGGAGAACCAGGCCAACCTCCCTACTCCAAGGCCACCCGATTCACACCCTGAATTCCATCTCTAACCGTGATCCCCCTTGGCCTTGTGCCCTGACATGTCCGCAGGTCCCAGTTTCGGAGTGGACACCGACGTCAGGCAGACGGTAACAAGTAAAGAGGTCGGACTGCTGAGTGTGTGGCCATCCCCCCCCCCCGCTTTTCTTACCTGTGTTCTCAGGAGTTTCCCTGGGGTTACACGTGCTGCTTTGGAGACAAGAGCAACTGAATCCCAGTTGTCTGTGGGCGTTGTGTCCTTCCCCGGTGCGGTCAGTCTACCAGCGGGGGCAGCCCTGCACGGCTAACAGTACATTGGAGCCTTCGACGTCCAAAAAGGTGAATTCAAAGGCACTCCAGCCCTGGCTGGCGTAGCTCAGTGGATTGAGCGCGGGCTGCGAACCAAAGCATCGCAGGTTCGATTCCCAGTCAGGGCACATGCCTGGGTTGCAGGCCACGGCCCCCAGCAACCGCACATTGATGTTTCTCTCTCTCTCTTTCTCCCTCCCTTCCCTCTCTGAAAATAAATGAATGAAAATCTTTTAAAAGAAAAGACACTCCAGCCTGGAGCAAGTCACCTCCTGTCGCCCCTGCCCTTGGAGACGTCCCCCTCCAGGCTCACGGTGCAACCTTACCCAGAAAAACAGCTTTTCTGCTTCAACTTTGGATCTCACTCTAAGTTTTGAAATGCAAGAATCCTTTACTTCAGAATTTTAAAAATAAGTGAAACAAGTGAATTACGTTTGGGGAACAGAGCACGGGCGACTCGCCGGCAATGCCTGCACGGTCCCTCGCCCAGTGAGGTTTCTGGGTCACCTGCCCGGGCACGGAGCCGCAGTGCGAGGGGCTGGCGCCAGCTTCTGTGCCCGCCCCCTGCCCACCCTGCCCGCCCTCCGCTGGGCGCTTTCTGGGTCACGGCCACGGCATCGGGCCGCACGGCGGGTTGCAAGGGAATGGGCCTGCGCGTTCTCTGCCCGCCCGGCCCTGACACGCTGCCGGGGCCGAGGCTGTCGCTGTGTGTGGGACACAGCTCAGACTTGAAGACCCTTAAGGCCCAAGTGCTTCCTGTGAGATCAACAGGGTCAAACAGGAGACCAGTTCTTATCGCTGCATCTTCACTGTACGCCAAGGTTGCTCCTAACTCTGCTGTGGACACAGCCTCCTGTCCGCCTCGCGGGCCTGCGGTCCTCCCAGGCGCCAGCCCCCTGGTCCCCGGGGAGAGGTCCTGGCTGCTCAACGCGGGTGCAGATGCCATCAGCAAAGGCCCTTCCAGGGAGGTTGAGGCGTGTGGCAGGGCCATCTCATTAGGTGGGACATTTTCTTACAGCGCTGTTTGTGCGGCCACCTGAGCACCTGCGGTAGATGTCACTGTCACAGCGGTCCCAGAAGCCGCTCCCCTCCAGCCCAGCTCATGGTTCCCAAGTCAGGCCCAGAGCTCGGGCACAGCGCAGCGTGAAGTCCCCGCGGGGCTCTCTGGGAATCACGGCCACACCGCGGGGATGCGGCGCTGGCTCCTTGTTTTGTCCGGAGTCTCTCATTCTAACCACTCACTGCAGAAACCCGCCCCCTGCCAGCCCCTTCCTGCACCTGGCCGCCCACCAGGCACGGACAGAAAGGCAGGTGCTCGTTACAACGTGGGTGCTTGCCCCAGGGGTGGTGGGCTGCGTGTGTCCACGGCCGGGGGATTCCTTACAGCTCCAGGTCCCTTGGCTTGTTGGCCTTGGGTGGCTCAGTTTGGGCCAGGGTGTGTCCACGGGCGCCCCACTTTTCTCGGGCCCTTCTGGGGGCCAGACCCTTGTCCTTGGCTCTGTGTATGTGGAGGGGCCTCGGCCTTCCTTCACTCTGGGGGTTCCAGCCCTTCGCCGACGCTGCCCCCCTCCCAGAAGAAGACATCGTCTGCGCTGCTGACGCGGTGCCTGTTCCAGCCAAAACAGACACAGCGTGTTCTCTTCTCAAAACTGGGAAAACCAGTCCCAGTGTCCTGAGCAGAAAGGAACAAAACCCCCGCCACGGGGGGCATGGGGGGGGGTGCGGGAGCTGCTTTCCAAGGATCTGAGCGTCCTTGGCAGAGCGGAGCGGAACGGCGTGATCAGAAACCCTCTGCATCCAGGCCTGCCCGGGAGTCAGCCCGCCGTGTGCTGAAGACGAGGGAGGGAAGGGGATGAGGATGTTTGGGCTTTTCCGTGGGTTTAAACCCTGCAGCGTGCACGGGTGTAAGGTGCACTGGGGGCTCTGCTGGAGGGCACTGGGGTGCCCGAGGGACCCCTCCACCAGGCAGACTCTTACGGGGGCCGTCATAACAGTCTGGCCCTGGCCACGGAACCAGAGGAAGTGGTTCATTCTGACCTTTGCCTCTGGGGACCGCCTCAGCAGGAGGGGTGGTAGGGGCAAGATTTCAGAGGGCGGTGGGGGTGGGGTGGGGGTTGGGGGGAGAGGCCACAGGGGGAGGGCCTGGTGCATTCTGGACAGCGAGTGCCCGGGCGTGGGCCTGATGGACCTGGCGTCCAGTCCTTGGCTCCTGAGCCCCGGTGAGACTACAATCTTGGTTTCTGTCACTGTTTCCACATTGCGTGGACGGGCCTGAGAACCAGCGCAGCCACACGTCTGCTGACACGCCAGCAGGGGTTTGGACTGCGAACTCGAAGGCCCGTGTTTGTCAGTGACGGCATGTCCAAACAATCGTGGGGTCCCACACACGTTCCCGCGGCCCACGCTCGTTTCTCCCGGGACCCACCGAGCAGGACACTCAGCAGCTGACGGTGAAATCCTTCACCCCGCTCCATCCACGCCTGGGGACGTGCGTGGGGGCTGGGCTGTGTGATGGGGGAGCTTGGGGACAGTGAGTCCAGGCCAATGCCCCATCTTTACAAAACTAAGTCTCCGGCATCTTCTCATTCACCGTGATGGGTCACCCCCGGGCCTGCCGAGTGCGGTCTCCCGGCGGTCCCCCGTCTTCCCGCCCTTCCCTGCAGTGAGGGCCGTGGGGGGAATCTGTAAGCAGAGGCACCTTGGGGGCACCTCCGCAAAGACCGGTGTCTTTAAAAGCCCTAATGAGCTGGTGTCCACTGAGTGGATGTTTTGACAGCCTCACGGTGGTGGCCGATGTGACCTACCGCTTTGGGACAGAGCTGGTGGACTACAGAGGAACCGCACAGATCAGGCTGCCCATGAGAACTGTCCCTGGGGAGCTGGCCTGTCACCAAGGAATTGCTTGAAAAGCCCAGCCCAAGCTGGGCCTGGCCGCCACCTTCCTGCAGGAAGAGCCGCCTGGTGGGGCCGGGGGATTCAGGAAGTCCTTGGTGACAGCAGCCCCCGGGGGGGACAGGGTTTCGTTGGGGGTGTCAGGTCTTGGAGACGCCCCCCTTCGTTCTCCTGGCTGCAGGGGGAATCTGTGTAGAGTGGCAGGGTGGACAGGCCTCTTACAGTGGGCCTGGGCAGGACCCGGCAGGGTGGGGAGACCCTAAACACAGGCCCGGCCTGACGGAGGGCCAGGCCCCGGTGCAAGGCTGGCGCTGGCGTTCTCCCGAGCCCGCGGCCGGAAGGCCCGGGGTGCGGAGCCCAGCAGCCAGGCCGCCATTTACACATTTCCTCTCGGGCAGCTTCAGGGTCAACGGGATGCAGAAACCACTTGATCTCCTCAGCCTGTGCCTCCCGAGTAGGCCAACAGGCCCACCTGGCTTAGGCCGGCCAGGCCAGTGCCCCGGCAGCCGGGGGTACAGGCCCCTCAGGGTTGGGAGGGGCGGGCGCAGCTGGCGGCTCTTTAGAACGCTTGGGAATGCGCTTCTCCCCACCCCTCCTCCTGCCGAAGGCCCTCTCCGTGGGCACGCCCCCCGGGGGGTCTGCCCGATGAAGAGGTTTTGCCTTGGCCTTCCTCCTTGTCCTCCAGGGTGCAAACCAGGCATCTTAAAATTGATCACCCAACCGCCCTGGCTGGGTGGCTCGGTGGGTTGGAGCCTTGCCCCATAAACCAAAGGTTGCGGGTTCGACCCTTGGTCAGTTCCCAGGCGGGGCGCGTACGGAAGGCGACTGATCGGTGTCCCTCTCAGATCCCTGTTTCTGTTTCTCTCTGCCTCCCTCTAAAATCAATAAACATGTCCTCAGGTGAGGGTTAAAAAGGAATGTGTCATCCAGCCAGGTCCCCTCTGGGAGTGAAAGTGGGTGTTGTTGTTAATGATCACCTAGACTCACCAGGCATACACCGAAACTGCGCCGGGCCGGCCGGCCTGTCTGTCAGCCTAATTACAAGGGACGGCGCGGGAAAGGAATGTGAGTCACCGGTGAGGCCCGTCCGCCCTCACCCGCGTGGGACTGCCCTTTGAGCCCCACATGTTCCGAGTCACCGTGGACACCCCTGTTATGGAACACGGCCGGGGCGCCACCGAGTCCGAGGGAACAAAGGGGCGGAGCCGCCTTTCCAGCTGCCGGTCTGGGAGTGTCGGCGTCTCACCGGGGAGGAGACCGTGCTTTCGTGGGTCAAGGTCGTCATTACGCCTCCTTCCTGTGATTGTCCTGATGTGTGCGCAGGCACGCCGGCGGGCGGTGCGCCGGGAAGCTGCCGTCTATACTTAGCTGCCGCGGCTGGCGTCGCCTCTGCACGGCATTCCTGTCTCATCACGCAGGAGCGCGGCCGGCGGGCGGGTGGGCGGGCGAAGCCGCCCCGGGGGACCGAGGACAGGAAAGAAATAATGAGTCCCTTCCAGGAACCATCCCACCGCCTCCAGCAAGCTGAAGGCGGCCCTGGCTCGGCTGTCTTCCTAAGTGGGTCCCAGGAGCTAGCATGACATCTGGGCACAGGACCTTCTGCACGCACGCAACCACCGGGGACCACGCATGCAGGCCAGGGGCTCACTAGACCGCCGGGCCTTCGGGGCTCTGCGTGAGTCCTGGGCTCCCGTCGTCCCCTAGGACAGATACCTGCTTCGTCCGGGAGGCGACGGCCGAGTGTCAGGCCGCAGCAGCCTCTGGAGGAGCAGCTCCCGGTGGGGTGGGCGTCCCTGTGAGGGGGCAGGCAGGGGTGTTGTCAGGGACGCCAGGGCTCCGGCCGGGCGGGGAGCAGCATTTCTTTGCTCTGTGTTCGTATAAAATATCGTTACAGTGGGTAATCCACGGAGTCACGATGCGGAGTGGCGGCAGAAGAGCGCCCACCGTCGCCCACCGTCCTGGGCGAAGGAAGGGGCTGCAGCCTGGCTGGTCTCGGAGGCCGGAGCAGCCAGTTCAGGCTCCTGTGATCCGTGTGGTCCCCGGTGCCCCCCGCACCGGCCTGCGCGCACACCTGCTGGCCCCTCGCCTGGTTGCCCAGGCTGGGACCGTCAGGAAAACGAGAGCCTGGACGGACATGTTCAGATCCCACGCCGGAGGAAAGGCAGCCAGCCCTCAGGGAGGCAGGGACTTCTCCCGGCAGCCCTGGGCCCTCGGGCCACCTTACTCACGGCACCTTCCTTTATTGCGCTGGGAGCAGGGCCAGGGCCAGCTCATGCATCGTACTGCCCGAGATACCCGTCCGCTGGAGGCCAGAGCTGACCCCTGTAGGAGAGGAAAAGGTTTTCTTCTTCCAGTCCCTGGCTGGGCCTGACAATTAGCCTGGCGAGGACAGGTGACAGGAGAAACACCTACAAATGGAGGCAGTGTGAGTTTTATGGGACACGGGAGTCCTCACAAGGTGGCAAGGCCCCTGGGAAGCATTGAACCTGAGTGCGGCTGGACTGTGGGTCCGACGAAGGTCACCGAGGGCCCGGGGAGGTCGGGTGGCGGTGGGGGGGCGTAGTCCTGCGCCATAAGGAGGCGAGGAGCCTGCACAAGGCCTGTTTGCATTCACCCTTGGGACCCCTTGTCTTCGGAGGCGAGGACGCCCCTTTCCTCGCCTCTCCCTTACGGTTTTGTGGCCTGTTTCGGGGGAGGCGGGGAAGGTCACGGTGACCTCCCTGCTTCTGCCGTTTGTCAGACCCCTTCAGCCTCAACGCTCCGTGGGCCCCGGTGCCACACCTGGGGACGGCGTTCCTGAACTTCCTCCCAAACCTCTTTTCTCCCTAAAATTTGTAATTGGTTTGAGAGAGAGACATTGGTCTGTTGTCCCACTCGTTCACGCACCCCTGGTCGGTTCCCGTCCGTGCCCCGACGGACTGCGGATCGAACCCGCAACCTTGGCTGACCGGGACGACGCTCTGACCCCCAGAGCTGCCAGCCAGGACCCCAGACGTCTTCTTAAAAAAGTTCAATGTGAGGGACACGCTACACACGTGCCCTTAGGGGTGGGCCACTGGGCACCGTGCTTTGCCTCTCACGCCTGAGCTGGGCAGATGTCTAACAGGGACACGTCACAGCACACATGTCACAGCCCGTCTCCGTCTGGCGGACGGGACAGAGGACACGACCTCTGAGCCCGCGTGCTGGGCCTTCTCCCCGCCGCCCCCGCCCCCCCCAGCGCACATGCAATCCGAGGCTGCCCCGAGGTTCCGAACCTTCTCTCCGGTTTCTGATTGTGATCGGGTGTCCAGATAGTGGGGATCCCCTTTCCTGCGCAGAAACGGAAGACCTGCCGGGTCAGGTGTGTGATTTCCTTTCAGCAAACCCCAGGCTCCTGCGGTGGCAGACTGGGAGACGGGGCGGGCGTCTGAGAGGCAGAGGCAGGGACTGGGCGTCGTCTCGTCGGTGTGGACGAGGCGGGGGGCAGCTTCATTCCAGAGACAGGGGCCGAGGCTGCAAACCCCCCCACCCCCCAGACACAGCAGCTTCCTGCTCCCAGTGCAGTGGCAGGGCCACCAGGAGCTAGCGCCGTTCCAGCCCCCAGCAGGCCGCCCTGGGGGAGCCTGTGTCGGTGAGCTCTGCACCCCTTCCTCACCTGCCCATGGCATGCACGAGCCCCAGGGGACCCCTCGGTCTGCAGCCGAGAGCCCTGGCTGACACGGAGGGAGCCCAGACAGTGGGGGCGGGGCAGAGAGGCCCCCAGGAAGGGTAGACGAGTCCAGAGAGAGAGGTGGGAAGCTGGCAAATGCTTTCAATGAAGGGTGCAGCTTACTGACGTATGAGGCCGGACCACACACATCACTTACAACTCGTACAACAGTTCCCTCGGCCAGCATTCCTCCCATTTCACGGACGAGGAACCCGGCCCAGGACGGTCAGGGGGCCTGCCCTCGGCCACGCAGCCCTCAGATCAGGAGTTCGAGCCCAGCTCCCTGCCCGTTGTCTCTCTGGCCAGGCCCGCCCTGCTCGCGGCAGAACCGGACGCCGCCTTCCCTGTTCTCCCGGCCTCCCGTTCTCCGAGCCCGGACGTCCCGCTGGTCCGAGTCACACTCCAGTTTGCCTGCCTGTGGGCTTGAGCGGCTGTGTGGTCATTCGTCGTGAGTCACGAAGAGCCCACAGGTCAGGACACACGGGCAGAGTCGGGAAATTTCCAAACTCGACGACCAAACAGGCAGAGGCCACGTCTGAGGGGACAGATCGCCGGAGCCGTTTACTTGCTGCGCTCAGCGGCTGCGCTGTCCGAGCTCCTCACGGCGCCCTACCTGCGTGATCACACTTCCCCGGCAGCGCCACGGGGCCGGGTTTGAACAGGGCGGGCCAGCAGCAAAACAAACAGTGCCATTCGTGGATGATGGGGTGACAGGGACTTTCTTCCTCTCTGCGTGTCTCTGCAAACTTCCGAGGCCGGCCAGCCTGTGTGCGGGTTCCTTTTAGCCACAAGGAACAAAAAGTCCTTCCTCAAGCTGGGTTGCCCAATCAGGACATGGGGCCGCTCTCAGGACTGACTGCCCACAGAGGAGGAAGCCCCAGGTGTGTCGGGGACACAGTGTCACCACAGACCCACTCTACTTCCTCCTCTCCTCTCTGTGGGCGGGCACAGCCACCCGTGGGAGCCTGGTCCACCCGTGGGAGCCTGGTCCTCAAGTGGGCACCCACGCCTGGAGCAGTCCCAGGGGCCAGAGTGGGTGCGGCAGCTCCCGGACACAGACGCGGTGCCTTCTGTCTCCGTGTCTCGTCTTTCAGAGTGCAGGAACCTTCTAGAAACCCCTGCGGGTCTCATGCCCACTTCTGCATCCGTCCCTGGGAGAAGGGGTGCCTTGGGCTTGCCTGGCCTGCCTGCGGGGGTGGAGCCCCGGCCCGTGGAGGGCAGGGGTGGGTGCCGCACAGACCCCGGCCCTTGGGAAGAAAGACTTTGGGAAAGGGACACCCTGCAGACAGCCAGCTTGTGGCCTCTGTTACTTTGTAACTTCAAAATTAAATTGATTTTTAAAAGCTAAAAAAAATTCCCCTGCGTCGTTAGAACCACAGTTGAGGGCTTTGGAGGGAGCTGTGCTGGCGGTCTCCCCCATTTCTGAGCCCTTCCTGCTCCTGGTGGAAAATCAGCACGGCCAGCGTCGGAACAAAAGCCTGTCCTGTCTCGGCTCTGGGCGTTTTGTTTGCTCTCCGGGGACATCAGGAAGCGGAGGGGGCTCCCCGGGCAGCCGTGGGGCCCAGACCTCTCCAGGCGCGTGTGTCATATGGGCCACGGGACTCAGACCACTGAGGGGACTCCCCGGCTTGGCCAATAAGGTCCCTTTCATAATCTGTCCTGGCTCAAGATTAAATCAAGTCCTCAGCCACGACGAACAGCGCTAGGCTTTGGTCAGGCATGACTCAATGGAGATTTCTCAGACATGTCAGGGCTTGGCCGAGAGGGAGGGGATGGCCTCGAAAGCGACCCGGGTCCCAGTGCTGCAAACCTGAAGGGGGGTGGGCGGTAGAGAAGCCCCCCCCGCCCGGAAGGCACCTCGGCTTTTCCTGAGTTCACCGGCTTTCTCCGCTTTCCTCCCAGCAGGTCTGAGCCGGCTGCAGGGGCGTCCCCAGTCCCTGGCGGCCGGCACACAGTGGCTGGACTGTGCGGAGCGAGGGGCGCGGCGGCCGGGACAACGGGCTCAGTGTCTTCCACCAGAGAACAGGCATCACGCCGTGCTCAGACCCACACGGACCGCCCGGTCTTGGCTGCCGGGACACGGCCCGCAGTGGAGTTAAAGGTAAAGAGAAAAAAAAGAAAGGAAAAACCCCCACTTTTTTATTTTCAACAAGTTACACAGGGATCTTGAATGGAACATTCTCAAACTTGAACTTGACCCCTAGCTTTCAGAGTGGCAAGGCTTTCTCCGCCCCCTCCCCCCATTATGTCATGTGCTAGGCACCCGGGAGCTCCATTATTCTGAAGCTCAGAACAATAAACGGATGAAGGAACAAAAGGGCCATTAAAAAATCATCTAGGCTATCACCACTTGCTATTTAAAGAATTTATGAGTCAAGCCAATGCAACCTTTTCACAGGGGCCGTATGGAGATATTTTAAGGCCGGATGCGTTCTTGTTTTGCCTTCTCAGCAGACTGTCCGTGGGAGCACAGGCACCTGCGTGTATCAGGCGCTCGCGCCCGGCCAGGTGGACGTCGCCTGGCCATTCCGCGTGCCTGCGTGCTCATGAGGTGGGCCTTTCCCCTGCACACCTGCAGGGGCCCCAGAGAACGGAAGGGGCAGGCAGGACCTTCCCCCGGAGCCTCAGGAGGGGAGCCCGGCGCCGCCCACACCTGGCTTTCACCCCGAGGGCGTCTGGCCTCCAGCCGGAGGCAAGACCTGTGTGTGGTTCTCAGCCACCCGGTGTGCGGCAGTTTGTCACTGTCGCCCCAGGAAATCGGCACGCCAGCGCCAGCGTGGGTGCTTCCTGAGCCCATAGGGTGGAAAAAGTCCCCTCTCGCTTGCTGTGTCAAGTTCAAAGGTGTGCCCTGTGTCCCCAAGGGGATGGAGAAGGTCGCACAGACTCTTGGGTTTTTCGTCCGAGTGGCTGCCCGCTCCTGGGAGCAGCGGCACCCCGCGGACGTGCCTCGGCCCGAGCACACACCTGACGGAGGCCACCACGGGAGGCGGGGCTGGCAGGGAGGTCCCTCTGAGGATCCGTTTTGCTGCTCTCACGTTGCAGCATTTCAGAGTCGAGTGAGCCTTCTGGTCTCGACGGTGGCAGAGACGGCTGTGCCCAGCCACGCGAGATGCTGTTTGTGTGCATTCCCCAGTCCCTTCGGGTCCTGTGTGGTGACAGCAGGCACTTGACTCACAAAGACCCCCGCATATTTTTTCAAGATGTATTTATTTTTAGAGAAAGAAGGGAGGGAGATAGAGAGAGAGAAACATCAATGTGCGGTTGCTGGGGGCCGTGGCCTGCAACCCAGGCATGTGCCCTGGCTGGGAATCGAACCTGCGACACTTTGGTTCACAGCCCGCGCTCAGTCCACTGAGCTACGCCAGCCAGGGCAGACCCTGCATTTTTTTCAGCGGGTCTGTGCGCACATCCGTTCAAGCGAGGACTGGGCTCTTTTGTTTATTTTCTGTGTATTATTATTTTTTTCTGCATAGGGGAAATTTCAGATGAGGAAGAACTTATTTGCAGAAACAGAGGGTGATGCCAGTCACCAACTAGAGGGGGAGACAGGATAATAAATAGTCTTTGCTTACAGAACATTCTGGAGGCAGAGCTGTAGGATCCGGGCTGTGGGAAGCATGTATGCAGAGCCTGACCACCCTCAAAGTGTTTTCAGAAACGTTTTCCCATCCCAGGTAACAGCCCTGTGAGACACACTTTCTCACACCAAACATCATCAACGTTCGATGTAAAACAGAACTTTTTTTTTTTTCCTTTAGAAAAGCCCTCAACGCTGCGGTGGGCCCCGGTGAGACGGCTGCCCAGGCAGGCACCCGGGCCCTGTGGGGTGGGCAGGGGGGAGGGGGGAATCTTCAGCCAGGTGTGAAGTGAGCGGCTGTGTGATTGTCACAGGGAGGTCACGGAACACTCCGGAGGCAGGGCATGGGATGCCCGGCTGTGTGAGAGGCGCCCGAAATAAGGAACTGCATGGAAACACTCCCCCCATGGTTGAAACTGTTTGGGGTGGCAGGAGACCTCTATCACCCATGTCAAGGACAAAGTGGTGGGGGGCTCGGGGCGCTGACCAATTATTTGCCTGGCTCCAGCGAGGTCCAGCCTGTGCTCGCAGAACCGAAGGCGAAGGAGGACTCTCTCGTTCACCTTTACTGTTGGGAAAATTGCTTTCCTAATCTGATTTTGGGCTCCCTGCTCCTTACTCCTCCCAGACCTCCCCCTCGTCACGTGGCCTGTGGTCTGCCCCTGTGAGCACCCCATTCCCGCTGCAGGTCAGCCCTGCTTCCTGCTCGTGTGACTGGCCGTGGAGCAGCCTGGGGACAAACTGCTGACTTGCTGACCGAGGTCCCTCTCTGGCCTGCAAAGCGCCTCCCAGCAGCATCGCTGGGGGGGAGGCGGCCGTGCTCTGGTTTGGGGAACGAGCAAACCGTGAAGAAGTGAGACCGGGCTGGCTGCTTCTCCTTATTGGAGCTGGGTGCTGGACTCACGTCAGCCTTGGCCACCCTGCATCTCGTGGGGTGCGTGCTGGGCTCCCCAGGGCATGCTACAGCAATCTCCTCTTCGTCCTGGCCACTCCCCTAGGCTTCAGGTCCTAGCTTGGCGACACAGGGGACAGAACAGAGAGGGTGGGAGCATCGGTCCCCAGGATGCGTCAGCTCTGTCCACGGGATGGAGAAACCAATTCAGGGCACTCGGAGTGAGGGCCTAACCTAAGGCTCATAGCTAACCTTCAGTGTCTGACAGCATTCCGGGAAACGCCAAGGGCCGTGAAAGGCAGAAGACAGCGAGTGGACGTGGTCCCAGGACCCAAGCAACTCACAGATCCAGGGAAGACACAGAGCTGGTTCCCTTACAATCTAAGAAAAATGCCTCCCCGTGGCAGTGCCCAGGGCCCAGGCGTACAGGAAAGGAGGAGGCAAAGGAAAGGCTGGGGGCGGGGGGCGGGGCGGAGAGCTCAGCAGCTGCGCGATCCTTCCACACACTCCTCTGCCTCGTGGGGTGTCGGAGTGAATCAGGAGGCTGCATCCATGTTCGCTGAGCTCCCGAAGGAAGGAACACGTGGACAGATGAAGTGGAGATGACGATATCATCATTCTGGGCAGAGGAAAGCTGGGAGCGAGATTTCGAGAAGACCTCGGAAGGCAGGCTCGGGTGCTGAGATTTATCTCTGGTCTCGGTGTGGCTTGCGAGCGAAGGAGTGAGTCTGGGTTCGGGTTTTCGGGCAAGAACCCTGTCGTCAGGGTGCACGGGGCCTGGGAGAAGGGAGACTTGTAGGCAGGAAACCAATGCAGACACCGGGAGCTTGTGCCGCTCCGGGCGGGAATGAAACACTTCAGAAGTATGGAAGCCTGGAGGGCAACCTTTGCAGATCTGGGCCGATGTTTTCCCAGGTTGAGAATGAGGCAGCAGCACCAGCTCCGGGCCCCTGGGCGGCTGCCAGAGCCAGCGAGGAACCAGTGCCCGAGGGGTAACCTACCTTTGCCTACTTCCTACTTCCCCGGCTGGAGACCTCGCCAGGTGAGGAGACGCTCATGGTTTGTGAAGCTGTCTTTCACCCTTGGCCACCAAACGAGAAAGCAGTCTCTTCCACCGTGGAAGAGAGCTGACACGTCTCTGAGTGACCAAACTGTATGGGACAAGTGCCAGGGCGGGCAGGGCCACCGGAGGGTAAGGAGAGCGTGCCGCTGGGCCTCTCGGCACGGACTGGACCCTTGACCTGATCCTGAGGCTCAGCAACATTTGAGGGGTCGTTCACACGTGCCTCCTGTTTCTTTTGCTTCTGGCCGGAAGAGGTAGGGCTCTGCAGGCCGAAATGTTAGCTAAGACTGTCACTTGCAGCCCTGGCTGGCGTAGCTCAGTGGATTGAGCGCGGGCTGCGAACCAGGCATCGCAGGTTCGATTCCCAGTCAGAGTACATGCCTAGGTTGCAGGCTATGGCTCCCAGCAACCGCACATTGATGTGTGTGTGTGTCTCTCTCTCCTTCCCTTCCCTCTCTAAAAATAAAATAAATAAAATATATAAAAAAAAAGACTGTCACTTGCCTCCAAATGTCTTTCCTGCCATGACCATCCCCTTAATCCATACCTCTAATTCTACTGGTGTCGCCAACTTCCCACACTTTCCTTGCGCTGATTCTTCATATCGCACCAAGCGCAATGGAGGAGATGTGGCTGGAGGGACCAGGAAAGGTGTCCCCAGCTCAGGGTCATCCTGCTGGGGAAGATATAGCATGCCCCATGGCTGGCGCCCAGGCAGAGGGGGGTGCCCTGTTGACACGGCACCGTGACCTCAGCCAGAGGCGGACACAGGAAACAGCGGCTTCAGGCTCAGGCTCCTGGGCTGGGGGTCTCGGCGAGCAGCCCAGGAACCAGAGTGTCTTGCTGTGGAAGCTGGGGAATCCGCGGCCTCCAGCCCAAGGGCGCCTGGTAAGTGCGGCTTTCACGCAGCCGCTGTCCAGGCTTCCGTCCGCCGAGAGACAGCACCCACAGACAGGCGGGGGGCTCACAGACAGAAACGCTGACCGAGCCAGGGGCTCGCGCAAGGGCTTTCGGAGTCCTCTCGGCAGAGGACCTGGGGGAGCACCTGCCTGAAGAAGGGAGCGGGCGTGCTGCTGCGGACGAGGGCGGCGTTCTCTCCGCCGGGACGCTGCTGGCCCCGTGCGCTGAGCGTCACACGGGCACCACCGCACGCACAGGCGCACACCGTTTCCAAGGAAGCGGCGTTCAAGGAAGGGCGTTTTGATAGGGGCTAGCAAGTCACGTGTATGTTAAGTTTTTGTTTCAGAAACTACAGATAAGGCCCATCTGGCGCCTGAGAAAGAGCGGCTGACCTTCTGGGGTGCTGGCTAGAGATTACCGCCTGGAGACCATCCCTATCAGGAAGAAGCAGGCGACTACCCCTCCCCTTTGGAGACAGCAGTTGAATTTCAAGGCTTTCGCCGACCCGTTTGTCCTCCCCCAACCCCCTTATAAAAGATCTGGCCGGGAAAGAAGCGGGGAGATGGTTTGTTAGGGTATGAACCTGCCATCTTCTCGGATCGCCGGCCATCTGAATAAAGCGCCTATAAAGGATTCAATCACTGTCATTGCTTATTGGATTTGGTAGTGACAGGCGGCCGGAATGCTGGTGTCTTTTCTGGTTACAGTTTGACCTCTTCCCACTTCCCTCCTGCTTGCTGGCTGGCGGCAGAGGACACTGTGGTGACGACCAAGCAGCAAGACTGAAGGGGCGCCCGTCCCTGCGGACGAGATGAGACACTGCCTGCACCCACGGGGCTTACGCAGCAGGACGGAGGCCGGAGACCTCCTGTGTCAGCGGCTTCTTACGTATCGGGAGAGGCCTGCTCGGGAAGACAGGACCGCAAACCAGCACGCGGCTTCGCTGTGTGCTCCGGGAAATCATGAAAAACAACGTCTGGCTCATCTTGGCAAGCAGCCCCCTTCTCCGGATGACAGATTGCTCACTTGGGCAAACAACCCGTTTGCCAAACAACTGCTTACACATCAAGACTCAAATACTCAAGGCTGGTGTCCGCCGGGCCTGAACGACTACATCTCGAACTTGGCCGGGTCCTTCCGGCCCTGACAGACCAGCCTTGAACACTTGGGCTGAGACCGCCCCACCTGGAAAGCTCCGCCTGGACTCCCCCTTCTGACACCGAGCTGCAGCTCCTCCCGTCGCCCGCCTGAGCTTCGGTTCACGGCAGGTTTTCCTGGTGGTCTTTGGGGGGAGTGGGCCGTTGACAGTGACCACGAGGCAGCGAACCGGCCCTGGACTCCATGCACGCGACAGGGACGTACATTCCTGTCTCGTTGTGACACTTTTCCTTCGGGGTTTTGGTCACTGGCGGCCAAACCTGACCCAGTGCGCTCCCCACTTCCCCGCCACCCCGCCCATCTTTCTGCCCAGCATGGACGGGGCTGACAGGCGCCCAGAGCCCCGTGAAAGGACTGAGGCTGGGTCTACTCTTGGATCCCTGCGGTCTGGCGCCCAGGAGCTTCCTGCAGGCGTCGCCCACCTGCCCGCCCGGTGCCTGTCTGAAGAACAGTCAGACACACCTGACCTGCACACGGGACAAGGGTACTCCTTCCAATGTTTCACCTTGGGACTCTGTCCGTGTGTCTTTTTTTTTAAAGATTTTATTTATTTATTTATTTTCAGAGAGGGAAGGGAGGGGGAGAGAGAGAGAGAGAGAGAGAGAAACATCAATGTGCGATTGCTGGGGGCCTTGGCCTGCAACATGCCCTGACTGGGAATCGAACCTGCGATACTTTGGTTCGCAGCCCGCGCTCAATCCACTGAGCTACGCCAGCCAGGGCTGTCCGTGTGTCTTAATGATACAGGCTGTTGCTTGAGACATTTCCGAAAACCTCTTTTGTAATCATGCCTTGATTTCCTGTCCTCAGTGGTGACAAACTATCTTTTTGTGAAAAGTTTGTTTTATTATGGACCACTTCAAACATATACAAAAGCGGACAGAATACTATAATGCACAGTTATCAACTTAGGGCAAATCGTATTTCATCCAGATGCCTTTCTCCTTCCTCTTTCCATCTGGGTCTCTTCGAAGCTGATCTCAGAGAGCACTTCTCACTTGGAAACATTTCAGCTACTCCAGAAGACAGGCTTCTTTAAAAAATATTACCAATAACACCATTATCCAACCTAGAAATCAGTAATCTCATTTTTTTAACTTTTAAAAAAGATTTTATTTATTTATTTTTAGAGAGGGAAGGAAAGGAGAAAGAGAGAGAGAAACATCAATGTGTGGTTGCTGGGGGTCATGGCCTGCGACCCAGGCATGTGCCCTGACTGGGAATATGAACCTGCAATGCCTGGTTTGCAGCCGGAGCTCAATCCACTGAGCTACGCCAGCCAGAGTTCAATAATCTCTTAATGTTATTATATGGTCAAATAGCATTTAAACTTTCCTGTTTCACTTTTTTTTTTTTACTATTTCATTTGTTAAAATCAACGGGGAAATAAACTTCACTTATTCTAACTGCTGGATATCTCAGGTCTGTTTTTCTTTGAAATTTTAACTGAACTATAATATATAGCACATGTGGAAAAAAGCCTGTGGCTCATAAGTGTGTAACTCAATAAATTTCCCAGTCTCTTTCAGCCTACAGGTTGGTCCCTACCCTCTGCCTTCTCCTCTGGAATTGATGGAGTAAAGAATGTCCCTCAGCCACAGTGTCCCACGGCCCATCCCCGGTGGGTGGTTGTCGGGGCATCCTTTGGCACCTCCCTCTGTCCTCTGCTCCCTGGAGATTGGTGGTTGCATCCACAGGCCCATCAAACCAGGTCAGTTTCAGGCAAGACCATTTCGCAGATGCTACTGTTTCAGCTCATCATTCCTGGGTTGTCTCTTTCCGAAAGCAACTTTTGAAGGTGGAAGTGATGTTACAAACAGGCAAAAGCCAGTCCGAGCTGTCTAATGCGCCGTGTGGGTGATCAAGCTGGAACGAGGTGGTTTGAGTTGAAAGGGTGTGAGCACGCCATGAATGATTTTCCTGTGAGGTTGGGCAGCTGGCCCTGAAGGAAGTTCCAAAACAGTTCCAAAAATATTCTGTGCAGTGGCAGCAACAAGTGTACAGCCACCCAGGATGACTGACGCGAATGGAACAACAGTGACACTGATGGAGAAATGGCATGTTGGTTACAAAACCAGCCTTGCTGTGTGGGTGGACGCGTATGGTGTCCCTCTCTAGTCATCAGCTCCGCTTAAGGACTCCTAAATGTCACGGAGTGTATCACACTTGGGTTTCGGGGCTGGAACTGGAACCACCGCTCTCTGGCTGAAATGTAGCCCCCACCTCCCGAAAGGGCAGACCCCGGTGCCGGTCTTAGTTCCAGCGCACAGCCAGGAGGTGTTGACAAGCTGCTGCTGGGTCCCACCCAGCCCCTCCCCAGGCCTGGCCTTTGCTTCATCGGCGAGAATGCGGTCAGGGCACTGCGGGGGAAGCCGGCTGCTTCTGAGCAGTCAACAAAAAATGAGGAAGCGCGGGGGGCGCCGCCAGCTGCGATCGGGCAGACGGCAGGGGCTCAGAGCTCGCGGGCCGGCCAGAAGGCCCCGGCTGCCGGGCCACCTCGCACACTTCCCTGTTCCAATTCAGCGGAACCGCCCGCGGCCCTCCCTCGCAGCCCCCTTTGTGTCTCGCCCCGCCCCGTGACGCGCACTGGGTGGAGCCAGCGTCCTCCAGCGGGACAGGCCACACTTCGGAGCCAACCCAGAGTTGGCGCCTGCGCAGCTCGGCCCGGCCCCGCTTGTTCCTCTCCCGCCCCCGCCCTAGCAACTGTCGTCGCTCCCGCCCCCGCCCCCGCGGCTGCGTGCGCGCACGCGTGCGGCCGCCTGCCGCTCGGCCCCGCCCACCCCGTCACCCGTAACAACCACTGGAGCCTCGCCGCGCCCCTCCCGCTCCCGCCCCCTCCCCCGCCCACTCCCCGGAACCGGTGGCGGAGCTGCAGCCGCCGGCAGTGGGACGGCGACGGCACCGCTGAGGCTCCGGGATGAGCGCCTCCCGACGCCCCGCGTCCTGGGCCCGGCTCCACTGACAGAGGTAGGCGCGCGTCGCTGCGGCGGGCTCCCAGAGCGCCCCCGGCGCGGCCCCCCCGGGCGGCGCGGGGCTCACGCGGCCGCCTCCGAGCCCAGCCAACCCTTCTGGCCCCCCCGACCCCTCTTAGTTCTCCTCGGCTCCCCTCGGCCCGGGCGCGGAGCCCCGAGCTGGCCCTCTTGCGGTCCTCGGCACGCTGCCCCTTCGCCCCTCGCCGCTCCTACTCTGCTGGGCTTCCCCTCCCCGCCCCCACCCTGCCGGTCGTCCCATCCCCGACCCCTCTTGTTGGCAGTAGGGTTTAGGGGCCGAGCCCATCCCTTGGCACGCCTCCCTGGGTCGGCTGGGGCTGGGGGCCCGCCGAGGCCGCCGCGCTGGACCCGCTGACCGATGATCCGAGGGCCCGGCCGCCCCTGGAACCCGCTCCGGATGGACTCACTGGGTCTGGCCCTTGGCTACTTTGTAAGGACCAACTGTCATGCCACAGAGGCTGCCCCGGGACAGGATGCCACTTGGCCGGCGTAACTCCAGATTCCCACGTAGAACGTGTCTCTGGACCAGAGCATCCGAAGCTGGGAGCTGGCAGGAGTTCGGAGGGTTCTTGTGAATTGGCAGGTTCTTCAGCGTAGCCACTTGGGGTTCTGCGGGGCAGTGGCCCCCTGAATCAATGTCACAGTGCCTTACCAAGCTTTCTGCTTTTTAACACCCCCCTCCGCTTTTTGTACCGATGGTCACCCTCCTCCTCATCGGGAGGTACCCTGAAATAATTTTCCCAGTTAAATTTTAAAAAGATTATTGAATTCCTACTGTGCGCCAACTAAATAGAGCGTGGTCCGTGTGCCCCAGGACCTGCCAGCCCCAGAGTGAAGATTAATGACTTCCCACCGAGCCTGGCCCTGAGTCTCACGGTTTACGGACTGGAAGTCTTTCAGTATGACCTCACCCCAGCCCTCATTCTGCAGAGGTGAAACTGAGTCCGCGGGGTCACGGGACTGGCTTGAGGTCACTCAGAGTTAATCTCGAGCAGTGTTCAGACTGTCGGTGCCGGTGTCCACCATGCCCTCCTCCTCGTGCGAGGGGTCCTGAGCCGGCGTGCCGGGGAAAGCGCTGCTTAGATGCAGTGCTGTGGGGAGCAGTGTTCCAAGGTTCCGAAATAAAGGCTGTTTTTGGAATTGCCTTTTTTTTTTTTTGCCTGTAGACTTTGGGCTTCTTGAGGACATTCCCTTTCTGCTTGGAGTCTCCTTTCACTCTACTCAGCGTGGAAGAACGTTCTTAATGCTTAGCCCCTGCAGGACAGGTGGGCGCCTGGGATGTATTTTTCTTTCTCCCTTTGCAATAGGAAAGTAAAGTCAGAGCAGAGGACCGGGATGAAAGGGTGTTTTCAGAAAACCCCCCTGCAGGCTGGGACGGGAGTGTGACTCCCGAGACACTCGAGGGTGGGCCAGCGGGTGGTGGGTGGTGGCTGTTGGAGGCCAGGATCCCCCCTCGGGGAGCCTCTGGCCAGAGTTCCCGTGTCTGTGGGCAGGCAGGCCCCTGAACGTGCGCCCTGCGCAGTTCCCAAGTGGGGTCGGCCCGTGTCCTTGGAAGCTGGCTTCTGAGGGGTGTCTCATGACTTGACATAACAATGGTATATTTTTCCCCCTTTTGTCCACTTTGCTCCTCACTTTTAAGTTCCTCGGTGGCCCTGCACTTAATATCTTAAAGTGCCACCATTGTTGCTTGGCTTCTGGGAGAAGTTGCTGAAGAGAAAATCATTCAAGAACTAATTGTAGCAGTTATCAGAATAATCAGGTCCTAACATGTCACTTCTGGAAAGGGCAGAACGGTAGCCCAGGGCAGCCCTCGGAGGGGCGGGCTCCAGGCCTCTCACCCCCGGGCCGCCCCCCCCAGTCCCCTGGCGCTTCCTTCCTCTCGCTGCCCTGCTGCCTTCCCCTCCCCTTGTCTGATTGTCTTCTCTTGATTTCCGTGGGCACGGAACTAGGGCCTGTTGAGGTTTCTGCCTGCCCCCAGACTGCCGCGTGTGATGTGTGAGTGCAGGCCTAATTTTTCCCACGCTGCGGTTGTTCGTCACATATGTTTGCATTTCGCAGGTGCGACAGGATTGCCGTTATATCCCAATCATGGTGCAGAAGTACCAGTCGCCCGTGAGGGTGTATAAACACCCCTTCGAGTTAATCATGGCTGTAAGTACCTCACTTTCAGGCTGCTCTCCGGCGTGTGTGTTTTAAGTGTTTGGATCCGACGATTTGTAAACCTATGTTTTATTGTTTGTCCCCAGTGCTCCGTTTGTACTTACTCTGATTTTTTTTTTATGCTGATGAACTGTATGTAGATTTGGTGAAATGTTTTTCAATTCAAAGTCTTTGAAAATCAACATCTGCTCGTTTGTTTTCTAAAAATACACCTCAGGGTAACGGATGCACTTGAGTTAATTCCCCCTTTGAACACAAAGAAGTGGGATTCTGAGCAAATTCATCTTCGTGGGGACTTGGCTGTTTCTCTGTCCGTTGAAGTAGAAAAAGGATGTGGGGAGCGGTCCCCTCCGGCTCCTTGGGAGGAGCGCCGTCGTCACTGCGAGCCCGTCTCACCGGGAAGTGCGCACTGTGGGACGGGGTTCAGTTCACAGTATTCTCCCGACCCTGCTGGGTTGGTTCGTGTTTGCTCCTGGTATCAGATTCGTGAGTCACACCAGACTCCCAGTAATGGGGCTCCTAAGCTCTTAATTTCCTTCGTTACTTACCTGAAGCGTCTGGCTGAAAGTAAGCATTTCCCTGGACGCAAACCCGAACAAACCCACTTCCAGCCGCTTGCAGATTCCTCCAGGGCGGGCCTTCCCTTCTCCTCTCTCCCTGGGTGCCCCCGGGGTGTCACACACGCAGGAAACCCCTCGGTCGTGAACGTGCCCCCTGGTGAGAAGGTCGGGTTGAACCACAGCCCCCAGCCCAGCGGTCAGTTCCGCTCGGCCAGTTCCGCTCGGCTGCACTCGCCTCCTCCCTCCCCCCTCTTGACTTTGAACCCGGGGGACGAATGTTATCTCTCTCTCTGTGCTATATATAAATTGAAACTCGGGTGTTTGTGCATCTGGCTTCTGCTCTGCAGCGTTGGTGAGATTTACCCAAATGAACCTCGTTTTGAAAATCAAAACAGAAACTCCAGCCTTCTCGAGGGAAGAAGGTAGAGTTAGGGGATCCGTCCATGACCTCAGAAAGTTCCCGAGTGTCTGTCTCCGTGAGGGCTGAGCCTTTTGTCCTTTGTGGGGCGGTGGCTTCTGGCTCTGCATTCCCCTTCAACACCAAACTGTCCAGTTTTTGTGGCAGCGACCTGCTGAATGCCTTGCCCCCTGCCCGCCCGTTCTGTGTGCCGGCCTGGCGCTGGCTGTGCGGAGCCGAGGCCCTCTCCGGGGAGCCGGAGGAGGAGTGTGCGTCGTTCGTGGGAGCCGTGCCACGCCGCACAGGACTCCAGGAACGTGAGCCTGCGCGGGCTGCGCTCTGACACCCGGCCTTGGAGGGTGGCCCTGCCCGGGGCCTCAGCAGCCACCGTCCCTGGCACGTCCCCTCCCTCCCTCCACTGCCGGAGCCTCTCTCTCCACCCCCAGCCGGCTGCTCTGTTCCCTCCCCCGGGTGTCAGCCCACGTGCTGGCTGGGCTGGCCAAGCCCTCTGGCCCCAGTTCAACTTGGTGGCATTTCTTGTCGCATTCTTTCAGTTTCTGAATGGCCGGTTCTTAGGTTTCCCAGCTCTGATTCTGGAGAGAGACAGTCTGGTCATCTCGGCCCTGGACCTAGGCTCCAGGTGACCGGCCAGCCTGTGAATGACCAATCACCTGGTAGTGGAGGCAGAAAGGCAGGGAGTGTGAGGCGGGGTGGGGGCCCGGGGGAGGGTGCCGTGACTGGTGCGTTGTGTTTTGTTTTCCGAAACCTTCACTGCAGACCTCAAGGCTCGGTGAGAGGTCGGGTGAGGCGGGGGTTCGGGCGGCCTCCTCTGCGAACCCAGATTTAGTGCGGGGTGTTTGTGTTTGGGGTGTCTGCTTCCGACTTCCTTGTTTCTCTTACATGTCTAGTTTCGAAACGGTGACATCCGCCCTGCCGATTTTATGCATGGGTTTACAGAAGAATTGGACACGCAGAACCACTTCCCCAATTTTTAAAAATTAATTCGGTTGTAACTGCTTTTGTTTTAAGGCAGTCGTCATTTCTTTTGAAGTTGTCAGGAAATAGTGTAATCTGAACATGAACTGCGTTGCCTTTTCCTTCCAGAATTAGAAAGAAATTGCAGTGTTGAGTGCTCAGTGATGTTTGTGTGGTGTCATTTCCCACTTTTGTGATGGCGGTCGTGCGACACAAAATCGTCAGTGCTGCGTTTGGCTCGCTCTGTCCGTTCCTTGTTGAGCAAAGACAGACGTGCGGACGCTGAGAGCGCTCCTTTTGGTTTGTCCGGCGTGACGGGGGAGAGGCGGTGGGGGTGAGAGCGGAGCTGTGGGGAGCTCCAGCTGGACCCTGGCGAGACCCCGGCAGCAGACCCCGGCACGTGGCCGTGACCACACGAGTTTGGCCGGTGGGCTCGGTCGGCACGTCCACGCCCCAGTTGGCAGGTGCCGCCACTCGCTGTCACTTTCCTTCCTTGCCTGACACCCTGAGTTCCTTCTCCTCGGTCCTCGGGCTTTGCGCTCTCCCTCCGACCCGACTCCCGCGGGTGCGGGGCGGGCGTCCTGCGGCGGCTCAGCTACGAGCGCTCTCCTCCCTCCCCTCCTGGAAGCGCGCCCTCCGTCCCGCTCTCAGGCTTCGGCGGCAGGTGTGAGCATCGTATGCGTTTTCTTTGATCGAGGCGTTGTTGCATCTTCCAGCAGCCTAAGGGGCAGTAGGATTTATTTTTACCCAGACGAAGCAGCAGCTGCATTTGGGGAGCTGACTTGAAGCGGAGTTTTATTCAAGTGTAGGGGTGGGGGGATGACCCAGTTCCACTGGCACAGGAAGGGTTCCGGGCAGAGCTGTCAACGCCGTGGCGTGAGTCCTGTGGCATTCAATAGAACCTGGGTGTGATTAGCCGGTCACTTAGTTGTGAAAACGGACGATGCCCTGCGGTGTGCTTTGGTTGCACACCAGTCTGCACGGAACCAGCGGTGCTCCAGCAGGCAAGTGGCTCGAGGGGAAGTAACGCAGGGCCTGATGCGGCTCCTTGCCTCTTCGATTTGCCTGTTTCCGTAAAGCAGACAAACAGAAAAACAAAAAAAAAATAACAAACAGCCAAACCTCGTCTTACGGAGAATCTCGAGCGCGCACAGACCGAGAGGCCGGCACGGTGGGGCCCGCTGTCCGGTGCCGCTGGTGCCGGCGTCCGCCCGTCTGTGCCGTCCTCTCCCCACTTGCCCGTGCGTGTAGAGGAGGTGTCAGACACGTTAGTTCGCCGACGGAGATGTCAGCATGCGTCTCGAACCAGTAAGGACTTTTTAAAAAATATTTTATTTATTTTTAGAGAGAGGGGAAGGGAGGGAGAAAGAGAGGGAGAGAAACGTCAGCGTGTGGTTGCCTCTCAAGCCCCCTACTGGGGACCTGGCCCGCAACCCAGGCCTGTGCCCTGACTGGGAATCGAACCAGCGACCCTTTGGTTCGCAGGGTGGTGCTCAGTCCACTGAGCCGCACCTGCCGGGGCTGACCAGTAAGGACTCCTTTACTTATAACTATTGCGGCCTTCTCACCCCCAAGAGAAGTACCAACAACTTCTCGATGGCACTCTGAGGGGCTCCGTGCATTTTTGTTAGTCGTTTGGGTCCTGTTTCGAACACGGCCACTGCATGTCGCTCTGTTACGATGTTTCTGCGGTCTCCTAACCTCTCACATTCTGTCTCCCTTTCGTTTCCTCCCATGCCTTTGCTTTGTTAGAGGAACTGGGTCATTTGTCCTGTTCGGTTACCTTGACCTTGTGCTGGTTTAATTGTCCTTCACAGCAGAGCAGCACGGGAGAAGGGGCGGACTCGGGGCAGTTCCGCCGCGTCTGCGGAGGTCTCTCTGAGCGCTGGCGTCCCGGAGACGGGAGCGAGTGGTTAGAGCCCGCCGCTCCCCTTGCATCCCTGTGGTTGTGCTGCGCAGTTCTGAGTTGTAAACAAGGCGCAACATCTTTTCCCCAAATTAAACTGGGTCTTTTATGTATAGTTATTTCAGCCCACTGCATCAGTCTTAATGTTTTGTACAGAAAGCAGTTGGGAGGGCGTCTGGGCCGCACAGGTGCCCCGCACGGCCCGCCCATGCTTGCGGAGGTCAGGCCTCGCGGGCCCAAGAGCTGGGGCCGGCGAGCTGGGGCCGGCATCCATGTGTGGTCCTCGGCGGCCAGCGGGGTGGGGCAGGCAGTCCTCTGTCCCAGCTTCTCTGTCAGCCAGAGCCCCGCGAGGGGATTGTGCGCTGGTCGGGGAGCTCCCCCGCAGAAGTTTACTGGAGAGAGGGGTTGCGTTGGCTGCTGTTATAATTGGTCCTTTTTTCTTGATTTTTAGCTTGCACAGGAGTGAAACAAACAGGTTTGTGTGTTTGTAGTGGAATAATTTTACACGTTGTGACAGAATGCATATGATGTGTGACAGTTCTCCTGAGAGGTGCTCTTCGGTGTTCGGGGTACCAGCCTTTTGCGTTTCTGGAAAAGTCCTTAAGAGTGTCCTGCCGCTCCCCGGAAGACAGCTGCTCTGGGTGTCTCGATGTGCACTGAGCCCCCCTGCCCTCCGCAGTCAGCCCTCTGCGCGTCCCCCACCTCCCGGGGCTTTTGCGTGGAGTGTCCACAGCGCCGCTGCCGATAAGCGCCCCGTTTGTGGGTGTCGTGCGTGTCTGACTGGATGGCTGCGCGGCCCCCCTTCCCCCCGGGCCTCCGGCCTCCCCTGTGATCGCTCTCGCGTTTCTTCTCTGCCCGCCTGCCTCCTGGCCCCCTTGGGTGCAGGCGGGCTCTTCCTCTCACGGCAGCTTTGTTTACTGTCTGGGGACCTCCAGTTGTCTGCCTGGGTTTCCTGGCCCCGGTGGGCGTTCCGATCGGTAGCCCATGCTGTGTTAGAGATACCAGCTCTCTCACTGACACCTCGTCCTGGGCCATCCCCCTTGAACCTGCGGCCTCAGCCGTCACTTCATACACCGAAGACCGCAGAGCTTTGTCCTCAGCCGGGGCTGCTGGGGGGGATGGGCTCCCCAACTCCTGCCCGGACCTCTCCGGC